ATACTGCACATCTTGCAAGCCATCTCGTGCCCTGGCCATGGTGTATTCCCTGAGCAGCTATCCAACCTGACCTCCGAATTCTAAACCCTAAACCCTAAACCCTAAGCCCTAAACCCTAAACCCTAAACCCCAGATGTCTTCTTTAGATTCAGCCGCCTCGTGGTTCTGCTCGGAGTTCTCCAGAATGCCTAAGATCCCACAGGTTTCAGCCTCGCTGTAGTTCACGGGGCCGGCTCCTTTGGCCACCAGCACGCCAAAGAGCCGCTTGGACTCCTTTCGATACCCCCAGGGGAGCGTCAAGTTTAGAGTTTATGGGTTTATGGGTTTTGGGTGTATGGGTTTATAGGTAAGTTTATGGGTTTATGATTTATGGGTTTAGGGTTTAAGGGTTTAGGGTTTAGGGTTTCGGAGTTTAGGTATGAGTAGGGAGGAATGTGGCGCGGCACTTCAGGAGCTGAGCGATGCGATCACGAGTTAGAAAGCTTGGAGACGTGGACCTGTGTGGAAGCTGAGGTACGGTGTCTCGAAGGGGGCAGAGAAGGCAGCCCGCACTTGCTTCCGATTCAGTAGACAATGGAACACTGCTTCCAACAGCCGAGGAACTTCTCAGGATGGGCTCTGGGCATAACGTAGAATGGCAAATTCGACGACCGGGTGAAGTCCACGGGGAAACCATCTTCAAGTGGCTTTGTCTCAGCACTAGTTGCCTAACGCGTCCCTAGACCCCAAACCCAAACCCTGGTCCCTAAAGGCCCTAAGTCAAACCTAAAACCCGAAACCCGAAGCGGCCCTAAACCCCAAACCTGACAAGCCCTACGACAGGGGCCCAGGGGGCTCTATTTAGGGTTTAGGGTTTAGGGTTTAGGGTTTGGGGTTTAGGGTTTAGGGTTTAGGGTCTATAATTACCTATACTACTTTGGGGGTTCCCTGTATTATGATTATAGTAATATACTGGGCCCCAAAACCCTATTCTAGTTATGAAGGCCCCTAAACCCTAAACCCTTATAGTAGCCCTTTAAGGAGCCCTTTAAGGGAACCCCAAAACCCTATTGTAGGTATTAAGGCCCCTACATGAAAAATCCCGAAACGGCCCGGAATGGTTCGAAGAAGCAGGCCATGGCGCTTTCCGAGCGACTCAGGGAAGGCTTTGCCAAGCGACGTGCTCAGATCGATGTTCTTTAAAGTGTAGGGCTTAGAGTGTAGAGTTCAGGGCTTTTGGGTTTCTTGGGTTTTGGGGTTTAGGGTTGAGGGCTTAGAGTTCAGATTATAGGGTTCTTGAAGTGAGGCTGCTCAGATCGACGTCCTGGGCCCCTAAACCCTAAACCGTGAATACCATGCTGGTCGCCTGACAATCCCTGCGCATCAAGACGGTGAGACGTCATGTTGGGCTCATGCGTCGAATTCTCATGGCAGCGTTATGGGTATTGCTGTAGCTTTGCTAGTGTGGTTGCTACAATTACTGCTATGATTATCATTATTATCACTATTCTTATTGTTCTTAATTATGAAGTTTTAGTCGTCGTAGTCGTGTTACTTTCATTTTTGTTAGGTTGCTGGTGGTCGGGCTCCTCTCTCGGATCTTGCAAAGGACGCGGCTCTCCGTGACCACGTTGAACAAACATGCCAGGAGCCTGGCAACGTCGTGTTTCCAACATGTACAGCATATTATGTAGCACTTATCACAATCGTTGAGAACGGTTTAGGGTTTAGGGCCTAGGGTTTAGGGTTCAGGGTACCAGGCACCCCTTGGTGGCAAGGTGTTGGGAATCCGTGCTTCCTTACGGACAGCGGAGCCGAAAGTCTTGTCAGTTTCTGTGTCGAATGCTGAAATTAAGAGGGTGTACCATAGAAATCCCTCAAACCCACTTTAGGCGACAAACCACAAAACATCGCAAAACCTTGTGTGTGGAAGAATTCCTGGAAATTATGAAGAGCTGGGATCCGAAGGCCCCAAAACCCTAAAACCAAAACTCTGGGCCCTGAATCCTAAGCCGCTATCTTGAACTCCGATGCTTTAGTTGAGTTTGAAAGCATCTACCGGTTTGGCATGGAGATGCAGCAAGTCACCTCCGCTTCGTCTTGAAGCCCACCTATTCTCGCCTTCCTTAACCCCCCCAAAACTCTGAATCTCTAAACGAAGCCCTAAACCCTAAATCCAAAACCCTAAACCCTAAACCCTAAACCCCTAAACCCCTAAACCCTAAACCCTAAACCCTAAACCCAAAACCCTGAATCTCTGCCTAAACGGGCCCTGAAGCCCCTAAAGCCCTCAGACTTACGACCTTTTATTATTAAGATCCTGCCGCGTCGCTCTTGGAAGGTCATCACCGCCCTTCTAAAGGAAGGCTGCTGCCCAAAGGGAGGAATTGAAGAAGTGCAGAAGGGACGGCTTCTTGGGGTTTTCGGGACTTTGAGGTTTTTGGGGATTTGGTTTGGTTTTTGGGTCGGGGATGTAGGGTGTAGGGTTTGTTGGAGTTCGGGTTTGCTTTAGGCCTTTGGGTGTGTAGGGTCTTGGGGCCTAAGGTATCAGGCCTTGGACAGGACAGAAGCCAAGGCAGCTGCAGGAGTCTTCGTAGATTCATCTGCTATAGAAGCGCCGTCGACATGATCATCACTCAATCATGTGCTTCTGCCTCACTTCCACAGAAGCTTCAGCGGATTCAGGAAATTGATATGTGGTGGCATAGCTTGAGGTCTTCCTGCTGTGTCGATGTCACCGTGCCCGTTTGTGGAAACCTCCGCGTGGGCCTGGCATGGATTGAATTCTCCAGTCAGCCATGCAATTGGTTCCTATGCGTTGGTTCTAATTACCAAGAAAGTAATTTCCGCTAAACCCTAAACTCCACGCCTTTGGTTGCAGGTTTAAGCTTGCGGCTGGCGCCCAAGCAGTGGCTCTGCCATGAACCTAGGATCAAATTTGGCTATTGCGCATGGTGCATGGTGTTGGACTTCAACCATTGCTTTAGGGTTTAGGGTTTAGGGTTTAGGGTTTAGGGTTTTAGGGTTTTAGGGCATCCGTTGAGCTTAACCCTAAACCCCGAACCCCTAGATCGAGCCTAGACCCCCGAACCCCAAAGCCGCCAAGCCCCTACCATAGGGGGCCTCAAAAAATTCCCTATACTATTTTGGGTGTTTCTTATTGTCATTATAGTATAATATACTTGAAAACCGTATTCTAACTAAAAAGGCCCCTACATTCAACCCCCGGACCGGGTTGCCTTCCCACCTCCTCCCCTAAACCCTAAACCCTAAACCCTAAACCCTAAACCCTAAACCCGGAAGGAAGAAGCTCGTCGGCGGGCGGCTCTCGCCCTCCACGGTGGACGGCCGGGATCCCAAAGGACTTCTTTGAGTCCGGGTTTGGGCTTTATGGTTTAGGGTTTAGGGTTTAATCAGGGCCTAATTAGGGTTTAGGGTTTGGGCTTTCGGGCTCGGATGTTTGGAGATGTGTTCGGGTTTTGGTCAGGGATCTTTCCGGGGTTTCGACCGCCGAGATGTGTCCGGGCTCTCAGCGCTTGAGGCTGTGCGGGCTTGCTTGGTTGCTGCTTGACATTCCTTGTTCGAGGGCGCGGCCATTACTTACTTCAAGTGCTAGGAGGGGAACATGCATGAGTTACCAGCACTGGTGCTAGGAACCGCAGCAGCGCTCACAGTAGCAGTGCCAGCATTGGTCGCGACACGATGACAAGGAGTCGCGGCAAGTCGTAGTAGCAGTGGCTGTACATCTAGTTGTCGTTTCTTAGGTTGCTATGCCCTTGTCAGGCATGAAGCAGCAGGAAATGAAAACGACATTTCAATCCTTCAAACAGCTTCAGCTGCAGGCACGAGAGGCCTGCTGGGGCGAGGTTTCGTGCCGGTGCCGGCCCGAAGGAAGCGCTTGACAGAATCGCTCTAAGCCTAAAACCGTAGGCCTGACTACACCCTAGACCCTAAACCTCGAATCATCACTCCCTCTCGTCACGGACTAGAGGTCCCGACCACACCTGAATGCTTGTACATGTTATAACATGTTGTACAAGATAACGACTATAACAGATAATGGAATATAATATAGAATAGAGAAAAGAGAATATTATATGATAGTACAAAATAAAAGATAATGTCATGTAATTTAGACTAGAAAATATGATACATGATAAAATTGTTAGAGCCTTTGAAGTTGAATACCATGCAACGCAAGCCTTCCGAGTCGCCTCGCAGGGATGGTTCGATTTCGGCTTCGGTTTCAGCGTCTAAAGCGACGCACGAATCTGTACTATAGGGGCCTTAATAATTACCGACACTAAACTATTTTGGGGGTTCCTTATTATGATTTTAGTATAAAATATTCCCCCAAACCCTATTCTAATTATTAAGGCTCCTACACTAGTGCTTTGCTTCGCCCTGAAGCGTTCTTGTATCATGAGTAGTGCGCAGGGTAGAGTATGAAATGTCTCGAAGGCCTGAAACCGGAACCATAAGGGTCCAGGTAGTCCGTACTGTATGGCTACTTGAGATTTAACCAGGTTCCAAACCCATACAATGGAGAGCTCTTGGACCCTTAGACGGAAAGTAAAGTCTCAGCGCCGCGCGCATTTTTTTGCCCGGCGCCATCCGCATGTTCGGTTAGAAGCTAACCCCCTCAGTAAACACGTGGCAAGGCAATGCCTGCCAATGCCCTGAGGTAAGAACATGTAAGAACTCTCGGCACGTTACGAACTCCATACCACCAACAGGAGGACTTTGCAAATCATATTCCAGTTCCTAGGCATCCGAAGTTGTGAAAGGACGTCGGAGTTTCGCGCCCCAGGTCGTGCATGGGGATGCAGTTTTAGATGAGTCGTGCTGCTGGCGCAGTTACGACTCCGCAACTCCACAACATGCTCTGAGCTCTGAGCCGCGATGAGTTACGCAGGCCTCAGAGCCTCAGACTAGCTTCCCTAAGCCCCAAACCCTAAACCCTGAGTGACAAATATGAAGACTAATAACAACATATTAATAGTAATAATGAGAGCAACAATAACAATTACAATAATAACAATGCCTATGATAACCATAACAATCATAACAATATCAATCATAGCAATAACACTAAAAACAGTAGTAATGGTAATAATAACAATAACAATCCTAAGCTAGTTCTTGGCTATCGATCTTGGACCTCCACGCTTCAAGCCAGGCAGGGCGTCGCAATCCTCAGCGGAGACGTTTGGATGGCCGGGCCCTCCAGACCTTAAGCTCCGCAGAAAGCCCTTCTTTCGTTAGGGCTCCTCCAATGTAGTTATACTGCGATAAATCCTGCAATACCCATAATAATGAATATACCATAATTCCCATAGTTTAGGGTCCAGAAGCTAATGCAGTTTTTATATCATCAGCCGTATGATATACTTCAAGGCATGGTTCTAATCGTTAAGGCACTTTACCTTAAGGCCCTTCTACCCTTAAACCCCTGAAGAACTCCTTTACGGAGCCCCTTCAGGAGCCCTTCTTTGGTTGTAAGGGGCCCCTCTATGATGGGGCAAAAAGGAGATGATAGCCAGAAGGTGCTTGCGCGGATGCCAGGAGCGACTTGCTAGGGTCCTTGGGGTCTAGTTGGAGGTTCATGGCTACCCAGAGACACCAATACCCCTTAATTCAGGAATGTACCTTAAATTATGGTAGGATCCCTAATATGATTGAAGGTATCTTCCTTAATTAAGGGGTATTGGAGTCTCTGGTTAGATATGGTGGGGTTATGAGTCCACGGATATGGGTTATAAGTGTAGTTGCCTTACTATAGCCCAACTTATGAGTACTACCCATGAACCTCCAAGCAGGGTCAAGGGCTTAGGGTTGAGGCTCGAACATGAGGGCCCAAAGGAATGCAGCTTTCAAGCAGTATGATCCTGCTGTGAATAAGGAAGCCGACAGAAGACCCTGATTCAAAGGGTCCCACAACTGCCTCACAGGCAGAGCGATTGATTCTATGGACTCCGTGATCAGAGACCCTGAAATCCCAGAAAGCCCGAAGAAGAAAGCTCTAAACCCTACACCCTAAACCCTAAACTCCTAAACCCCTAAACCCTAAACTCTAAACCCCTAAACCCTAAACTCTAAACCCTGCAGCCTTTCCTCTAAAGCCCTGGAGCAGGTAGAGCTCTGCCGAGAGCTGGGCGCAAAGTCCGCCGTGCACGGGAGCCGAGTCGGGATTTTGAGATTGACCCAGAGAACCCAATACCCCTTAATTAAGGAATATACTTTAAATCATAATATTAAGGCCCCTATAGTTTAAGGTATATTCCTTAATTAAGGTGTGTTGGGTTCTCTGGGGAGCCCTCGGAGCCCAACCCACGAGCTTTGCTAGATGCTCAGGTTTGTAACTGATGTTGACGGCGTCTTCACGAAGTCGGGGACCCAGTCTTGTCAGCTGGTTGAGGGGGTTCTTGTGCTAAACCCTAAACCCTAAACCCTAAACCCTAAAATCCGTCAAGAACGAGCCGGTCGACAAACTAGCACAAAAACGCCTCAAAGTTGAACTTGCCGGTCACCGTCTGCAAAGCTGCCCTAAACCCTGAAACCCTAAACCCCTAAACCCCGAAACCCTTAAACCCTGAACCCCTAAACCCTAAAGCCCTGGAGCCCTAAACCCCTAAACCCCTAAACCCTAAACCCCTAAACCCCTAAACCCTAAACCCCTAAACCCCTACAGCCCTAAACCGCTACACCCAAAACCCTTATAGTAGCCCTTATAGAACCCTTTTATTAAGGAACCCCCCCTAAACCCCTGAAGCCCGCCGTCCCCGCTGTAATTCCAAGGCCACCCTGGGAATCCGGTGCTCAGCTGGCCCGGCACCCGGCCACTGGGGGTTCCAAAGCCCTCAACTTAGGGTTTAGGGTTTAGGGTTTAGGGTTTAGCATTTTGGGGTTTTGGGTTTAGGGTTTAGGGGTTTTGGGGTTTAGGGGTTTTGGGGTTTTGGGTTTTGGGGTTTTAGGGGTTTAGGGGTTTTGGGGTTTTGGGTTTTGGGGTTTTAGGGGTTTGGGGTTTTGGGGTTTTGGGTTTTGGGTTTAGGGGTTTAGAGCAAGCATAGGCTAACCCCTCACCTCATTTCTGAACCCGCCTAACATTTCAACCCTGCAATCCCACAATACACAAGCACCTCCCAAATCCCACGCCGAAATCCCAAATACAATCCAAAACACAAAGCACCTCCCAACACAACATCCAACCCCCAAACACAAAACAAAATCATAACAACCTCCTTCCCCCACACCTCACATCCTACACCCCCCCCCCGACACCTTCACCCCATTTCTCAAACCGCCTAAGATTTCAACCCTTCAAACCCGACAATACACAAGCACCTCCCAAAACAAATACAATAGTCCATAATACAATGCAAAAGAACAAAGCACCTCCCAAAACAAATACAATTATCCACAACTCAACTCAAAACCCAAAGCACCTAAGCAATCCATAACCTTATCAATAAAATAAACCACATCATAACCAATAACCAAATCCTTAACCTCACCCATTCTGTACCCAATCTCCTAACCTGAACTGGGAAATGCTCCCTTAATAGAAAACTTCCGCAAAGCTCATAACCCTTCCTGCTGGGCACTCGCATCGCCCGTTTGCTTCTTCAATGAAGCGGTGCGCCCGCCATGTTTGTGGAGCTTTAGCAAGTCTTGTGCCCCTGTTTATGTTTTGAAGGCGGCAGCATTGCTTACGCTGTGCAGTTCCGGCTGCAGCCTTTCATGAATTGTGTTGGCCCTTTGATAGAGACAGTTGGTACTCTCATCCATGTTAAGGTAGAAGCTATACAACGGAAGCAGACACCTGCGCCATGGCGCGCTCAAGTACGCGTTGTTCAAAATCACTGCTGATACTAGTTGCTTTGGCATACGTGGGGCACCGTGGCTTCATGTTTGCTCCCCATTCGGCTCCGCAGGTGCATGGCTCCGTGAGTCCTGCTGGCATTACCAAGACGCATCTGCTGTGCAAGACAAACGTTGCGGGATCAAACGCAAAGGGCCAGAGTACTGAAGTAGAAGGCCTTAAAGAACAGCCGTGGTCGTATGGATTGGTTGGTGAGAAGGGCTCCGACCTCTATGCCCGCAAGCTGGATGGCAACTTCTTCTGTGATATGAACAACGCGAGCCTCTTCCTTCAGGCGCTGGATGCGGATGCCAGGGACAAGCACACGGATGCAAGTGTTCTCTTGCGGAGCATAGACAACGCGGCACATGCCTTCATGCGCGACCGCCAAAAGGTTTTGGACCGAGAGCTTTTCAAAGAAGCCGTGCAACAAGCTATCTGCAGCAAAGGCAAGCTTGCCTTAATCCAGCGTGGCTACAGTCTCGGGACGACATATCTGCTTCGCCATGTCGTGGACACAGTCAGGCAAGCGCCAGGTGGAAACAGGACCATCCTGTATGCTAACATGCGCGCGGTGCCACGTGATGACTTCTACATGGCTGCGCTGTCAGCGGCAAGTGAACAGGCTAGCGTTTTAAAGGTCTTCACCCGGCTACCACTCCTGAGCCAACGGCTTGGGTTTTTTGGAAGGCTTTGGCCTTCAGCATTGGTCGTTCAAGGTTTGGTAAAGTCCTTGAACACTAGTTCTCGGGCAAAGTGCTTGGCCCAGTTGGTCGATGAAGTCCGTAAGGAGGGCAACGACACCACTATCGTCATCGACGAAGCGAACCTGGTACTCCCCTGTAGCTACTCTCGCTCGCCTGCCAAAAAAGAGGCATGCAAGGCAGCCTTGGCCCAAATCACCTCTGAGGTTTTCGACGCCTCAGTCGTGCTTACAGCCTCAACGCATGACTATGTGTACGAGCTGGCCAACGAAGGTCTCTACCTGGAGGACTTCCAGATCATCACCTTAACCCCGGAAGTGAAGCCAAGCAAAATGTTCCACGTGCTCATGGACCACTGGGCCATGGGGAAGAGACTGGCGTGCCTCTTTGTTGCGACCTATGGCGGCTCGTTCTGGGAAGCCGACAAAAAGCTCTACGTTTTCATCAGCAAGTTCAAGAGCCCCGATCTTTGGCGGCCGCTGGGCGGTCATCCTGGCATCGGCGCTTGCTTGGGTCAGGCACGTCGGGGCGGGTTGGTCGCGCATTTCGGGCTGTTAAATACCTTCATTTTTATATTCTTTTTGATTTCAGTAGGATGCTGCACGCGAGCACCTCATCAACATTGCCGTGGACGGATACTCGCCTGTGCCAGACTATAAGACTGACGAAGGCGCAAATTGGGCGTCTGCCCGCAACGTGGCGTTTATCATCCCCCGCACGGCGCAGAAGCTGGGTTTATGGCCAGAGGCCTTCCAGGAGACTGACGAGAAGTACGTCCTGGTGGCCTCCAATCATTATACGCGATTGTTGATTTGCGAGGCACGCTTCGTCCAATCAGCCAATAATCAGCCTGTCATGTTGTAGGTAGGCAGGGTTTGCGCAAGTTTGTGGCCCTGTGAGGCGCTCCTTGACAGTTGCTACATCCAGAACAGCGGTGGCAACTTAGCGAGGGTTTGACCGAGTTGGTTTAAAAGCCTTTTCTAAATATTCAGATGACAGCATGCTACGCCAATGCACAGTGGACAACTGTGCATAATTTGATACAGTGTTTCAGCTGACCGCGCCAGAAGAAGTCGCGGAAACTACTTCCCGAAGGGGAGCACCTCATGAAAACAGAGTGCCAGAGAGCGATGTGCCACCAGATATGAAAGCATTTTTCGGCAGTACTGTTTGCAACTCCCTAATCCGCGAAGTAATAAACCCGAACACGCTTTCACAACGCGACTTATAACGTGGCAGGTGGTCATCTTCATCAACGACTTTGACCGCTGCGACTTCAAGACTCGGGGTGCGCCCCGTTCCCTGTTCAGGATTGTATTTAGGGGTTTCCGTGGTAGCTTTTGTTCGCCTCATATATTTGTTGTTCTTCCTCAAACTTTCCGCAGTTCATGCCTCAAATAACCTCTCTTATCATCGCTTTCTAAATAGTAATAGTTTTGTCCTAATTTCTTATCAATTCGTTTGATTTTCTGGGGGGTTCTCACCCAATGACTGGTGCGTTCTTTTTCACAAATGCCTTTTTTGCGCATTATTTTAACACTATCCCCCACCTCTATTTCGGGGTATGTTCTATTACGCTTTGCCTGTAAAGGTATATTCAATTTAACTTCAAATTCATTTTTTCCTTGCTTCTAATGGTGTCATTTTTGTAGTTGATGAAACCATTTTATTATGTTAATAATATCTCCAAATTATAATCTATCCACCGGATATTTTGCTTACCCTTTTTTCATCTGCTTCAACCCGCTTAAAAAGCATATCTTTATAGGTTCTTATAAACCGCTCCGCGAATGCTGGATGTCCTCTTGTTCTGTGTATCTCTTTTTTCTCACCTTCTAAATATTCTATAATGGTTTTACTATACAAACTCCCTTCTTCATCACTGTAAAACATCTTCGGTTTATCCCCCATTTTTTGTAGTCCTTCCGTTCCATTATTCCCGCTAACATATCAGGTGGTTCTTTACTCTTAATAGGTATAACTTAGGATCCCACCCTCCCTACTAGCAGTTAAATAAAGGTTCCTTATATAACACACAGGCAGAAATGAGCACCAGGGTTTGAAGGCCCCAGTGGATTAAATCTTAGCCACCTGATCACACTTTCAGAAACATTCACCGTGGGACTGGCGTCGCTTGGGGCTTGGGCTTGGTCTGGGCTGATTTGGTTTGTGGAATGTGGGTCTCAGGTTGGGTTTCGGGCCAGGGCTTAGAGTTTAGGGCAAGCTTGTTTCAGTGTCCGGATGTGGGGCTCAAGGTTTCGGGCTCGGAGTTTAGAGTTTCGGCCCTGGGGTTTAGGGTTTAGGGCAAACCGGTCTGAGTCCGGAGGTGGGGCTGAAGGTTTAAGCTTCGGAGTTTAGGCCTGGGGTTTCCGGGTCTGTACACAAGAAGCCTAGGCCCGCAGGCTTCGCAAACTCGGGCTGTTTCGCTCTCGGTAGTTTGGGGCGGGGCGCACGGCTGCGGGTCTGTCCAGAAGAAGCACAGGCCACAGTTTCGCAAACGCGGGCTGCACGTCGAAGAAGCCCGGAATGACAATCATGAGCACAAAATTGAGCACCAGAAAAAGCACAATCATGAGCACAATCTCGAGCACCAGAAAAAGCACAATCATGAGCACAATCTCGAGCACCAGAAAAAGCACAATCATGAGCACAATCTTGAGCACCAGAAAAAGCACAATCTTGAGCACCAGAAAAAGCACGAGCTTTGATATAAAGCTGTAATGAAAAGCACAAGAAAGAGCACCAGCGAAATTGGCCAAAAATTCCAAAAGTTTGATTGAGGCAGTGTAAGTAATTGAAACGAGACCAAACTGGCCAGGGTCCTGGCCGGGGAGCTCCGGCAGCCAGGCAACTTCAACAAAGTCCCTCAGCAACGCCCTTCAACAAAGAGCTGCAGTAACCTGGGTTCTTGTTAAAGGATTTAATTTAAGTTGCGATAATAGGGATGTACAGTAAATAATATGGTTTCCCTATTATGGTAACTTAACTTCAATTAAATCCCTTAACAAGAACCCAGAAGAGCTGCAGTAACAGGTTGGGGGCGTCGTTACTGGCCAATGCCCGGATCCTGACTGAGGCCGCCCAAGAGCGATGCATTCTGTATTCTGTACCATATCCAGCCCAACGCAAGCAATGCTATGACAGAGATCGGGCCGATGGTTTAGGGCTTCGGGTGGGTTTCGGGTTTAGGGCTGAAGGCCCAGGGTTTTCCTGAGGGGTTAAGGCTTGGGGGTTTGGGTTCGGGGTTCCGCGCGAAGCAGATGGGATGCAACCAATGTTTCATTGATTCTGCTCCCGAATTGGAGGTTGTGATCACTACGTACTCTTTTTTTTTCGGTTTTGCTGGTGCTCTTTTTTGTGCTTCTGTTTGTGGTCACTGTTAGTAGGCCGGGTGGGATTTTAAGGTATAACAGTAGCATATTTGCTAAAAATATCAATTAAAACCAACCCAATTCTAAATTTTTGGTTTCCTAAATCATTTTTGCTTATAAAGAACAAATCCACCTGATATTCAAAATGCGCGTGGGGTGCTACAAAACTATTCTCACCACGCGGTTTTCTTTTCTCTTCAATGCTCTTTCTAAAAAACTCCTCAACATCTTCTTTCGTAATACTGGCATCCTTCTTTTTAGCATCTTGTAGGGTTGTTGCCTTACTCCCAAACCCTGAGCGGTCATAATAAACATTGCTGATAAAATCTTGTTTAGAAGTCATTATAATAAACAAGATATTATTATTTCTATTCTGATTGTTCGGTTTGTTGTTCTTGTTGTTCTAACCATTCTTGATGCTTCTTGCATTTTTCGTGGCGGGTTCGGGAGCGTTGTTGGAAAACCAGACCACATCCGCACGAGATAGGCGTTGTGAGGGTTTCCTTGTTTCGTTCACGATAATTCAATTTTTGCTGTCTTATCTTTTCAACGTTGTTCTTGCTGTATTCTTTTTGGTATGCACATCTTTCTTCCACATGGTTTCTGTAATATTCTTTTGAGCGCGCATTGAGTTTATAACGCTCTTCGTGTCTGTATTCCTCCCTAGTTCGCTCCGCTACATTAGATTGTTTGTTTACGCACACGTTTGCTTTGCTGGAGAGCCGGAGAGAACTCATGCAGTCGTTTTTGCAGGCGAGGGATGCGTGGAGACAAAGCAGACGATGCTTTGCCACTTGCTGGGGAGTACGTGCGTGCTTCTTTGCCTTGAGGCTTCATGCCCAGACAGCACAGGCCTCGCGTGCTGTAAAACATGACAAATCGGTTTGGAAGGATAGCTTGGTCGCCAAACTTTCTCAAGCAGTCTTGCAACACGATGCCAGAGAAGCTTGGTCTCTTTGCAGACAGATTGCAGGGCTTCCGATACGGAAGACTGGCCGTCAAGCCCCACCTACCAAGATTGTCAGTAAATCCTCATGGCTTCGGCACTTTCAGGAAGTCCAGGCAGCTCAAGAGAGCTTGCCGGTTGAAGTTGTGCAGCCTCGTGATGATTTTCCATGCTCCTTACTTCTGGAAGGCATTGACGGCTGTGAGATGCTCCACAATGCCATGAAGGGGATGGCTCGTGACCGGGCTGTGCCCAAAGGAGCAATACCAGTTGAGCTGTGGAGCGCGTTGTTTGACACGACATCTGAGTCCGTTGACTTGCTAGGAGGTGTGCTGATGCAGGGCATTGAGATATTTCAGTTTGCCGGGGTCAATCCCAGAGAATGGTGTGAGGGCCAAGGCTGCGCCATTCCGAAGCCGGGCGGAGCTACCACGCCAGATGGATATCGCTTCATAAATCTATTGGACCCACTCGGCAAGGCCTTTTACAAAACAGTTATGGACATGCACCCAGATTCCCCAGCTCCGTTCCAGTCTGGGTATTCTGCACGACGCTCGCGGAGGGATGCCATTTTGCAGCTCACGACAGTGTTGCAACGATTACATAAGGCTGGCTTCTGCACCGCTGCTATCTTGTATGATCTCACGAAGGCGTCTGACACGCTCAGCAATGACAGTGTTGAGAGCAACGTGAAGAATGATTTCAGTCTGCACAACACAGCTCGAACATTGCTACTGGACATGCAGGGAAGACTACGCATTCGGATGCCTGTGGACGGTGGCGATGTGCTGTATGTTACGCTGGGGGCTGGTGTTCTGCAGGGTGGAGGAACTGGTCCGAAATTGTTCCGGCGTGTGTACGACCAGACTCTTGACGAATGGATGCAGCATGCCCCGTCAAGCAAGACATTCACGCAGGTTTTGTATGAGGGTCATCACATTGATCTGTCGGTATCGGCATATGCTGATGACCTTGCCAAAGTTGAAGCAGGCCGCGCAGCTGAAGATGTCGAGAAGGACACGCGGCTGCATACCGGCAATCTGGTGCAACACTTGGCTGTGCGCAATTTGAGGCTCAATTCCAAAAAGTGCGAATCATTGCTGACAGTAAGGGGCCGCGGTGCCTACACAGCCTCCAAACGTCTTCACGCTGGAGGTTGGAGAGGGCCACCTCTTAAGGACGTAGTCCGATACCTTGGAGCTCATGTGCGCCGCGACGGCTCAGTCACTGCTGAGATTACAAGACGGATTGCAGCAGCACAAGCTGCTTTTGCCAGATTCGCCATCTTCTTTCGACGGAGGAAGGCCCCCCCTGAGAACTAAGGTCATGATTTTTCGAGCGGTCGTGAACGAGACTTTGCTTTCTGCTCTTGAAGTCCGCGTCCTACCGTCCTCTGCTGTGGACAGGCTGGAGTCAGCCCGAGGCACGCTGCTTCGACGACTGTTTGGCAAGAACGGTTACGGAAAGGTAGCTGGACAGCATACTCGGCCGGTTTCTGTGACAATCTCGATGTTGCGTGCGTGGTGTGGGCTTGCGTCTGTCATCACTGAGCTCAGAGTTCGACGGTTGCTCTGGCTGCGAGCATCGCTAGCAGCTGAACGCGCGGGTGAAATTAGGCTGGAATTGGCGGCTCTTTTTGGCAAATTTTCCGTGGCAAGCACAAGCACCTGTTGATCCATCGGGTTGTCTGACAGATGCGGCTCCCACGTTCTTGCATGTTTTGCTTCATGATTTGCAAGCCATATGCAGCGGATTTAGTGGATTCAATCCTGGATGGAAGGATGCTGTCCTCGGCATCCCCACGACGGCCATCCACGCTTTGCGTACCTGTGATCTTGAGCATTCGTTCCACACTGAAAGATATGTTGACTGTCATTTCCCTCCTTCTAACGAGGAAGGTCCAGTTGAAAAAACCGATGCTCCAAAGATGCCAGCATCGACTCCACGCGTCGAACTCGATGTGCAAATTGAGGTCGTCTCTTTAGCAGTGTTGGCAGATGGCAGGATTCCTGAAGGGAATATTTTGCCTGCGGATTGGTTGCAGGGTGTTTTCTGTGGCGAGTGCGCTGGCGGGCCTTGGCACAGCTATCGAGCTTTTGCCTCACATGTGATGCAGAAACACAAGGTGAAGAGCTCGACACAGTCCAAAGCATGCACATACTGCGGCCGAGAGTTCACCAGCATAACTGCTTGCAGGAGGCACATGAAGAATCGTTCTTGTGGTTCCATTGTTTGCAATCATGGACATGCTGGAGCAATTGCGGGCGAGAGGGAGCGACGTCACAGGGAGTCTACTGGGTCTGATTTCTTCGCAGCATTTGCGCAGCCGCCTTGTAGAAGCTCAGTTGTTGCTCAGAAGTCTCATGGCGCTGTCCTTCATGGACGGAGTGGCAGCACCAGCAGCGGCGCCTGCGGGGAGCAAGCGCAGAAGGGAAGCCTCCAATGGTTCTGGAGCCAAGCCAAGTGTCGACAAGCAGGTGGAAGCATTGTCGGCGCAGCTCAAGGTTGTCATGAGCCTTGTGAGTCAGCACGACCGGGACCTGAGGGAGTTAGAAGCGTGGTCAACTTTCACCTTTCTCCTGAAGAAGGACACGCCTCTCGCTCAGGAACTGCTGAAGGCCATGCAGGGTTGGAAGGACAAGCTTCCGGAGAAGGATGCTCATCCATTAGGTCCTCCTCGTTGGGCAGTGGCTGGAGCTTTGGCGCAATGGCTTGTGTTGGAGGAGGAACGCCAGAGCAAGATGCCGCATTTCTTCAGCTTTCACAACGGCCTCACGCAGCTCTCGGACATGGAGTCGTCGGTGCAGCTTGCAATGGTTCGAGAGACGAAGGACCAGAAAGTGCTGTTGAGAGTGCGGCCGCAACTGAGCAGACAGAGTGAGTGGCAAGAAGCCGTGACCGTTCTGCAAGCTGTGGTCGCTGCGGAAGGTGGGGAGTTCAAGACCGGAGCCGCCCCACCGAACCCGCTCGTGAGGAAGATTGATTCCAGGCATGGTGCTCGCTGAAGGCAGTGCCGTTTTGTGCGGGGATCCTCAGAGTGAGGTGCCCTCGCGGCCCAGCCCCAGCATGACTGGGTTGCAAGCCGTTGATCGCCCGAAGTTTTTGACTGTTCTTTATTTGGGACACAGCAGCATGACCCATCTTGTCTTAGTGGCTGAAGCTGCAGTCCATGCACGTTCAACGTGTGTGCGCAGTCTTACGGCTGTGAATGCTTTTGATCCTATGCTCGGTCACAGCGCCGTGCGCCGACACAGGCCCCGTGTTTCAAGAATGCAACAGACCATTCGGGACCTAAGCGGATAGACAAGACAAGACAAGACAAGACATACCACTTCTTCTTGCCTCAGAACCCATGCCTGCATTTTGGAAAAATTGGGCTTCGGATTGGGGTTGGGTGGGCGGGGGGTGGGATGATGACGACATTGTTACACAGACACCGCGAACAATATCTTAACGAGAGCCGTTTCACTCGGTATTTACAGTACTTTCGTGATGCCGGACCCTCTTATTTAGTCACCAAACCTACTTCTGGACTTTGCGAACTCGATTTTGGGATTTCGGAGGGCTTTCGGCCAACACTCGAAATTGGGTGGGGGGAAGCTTTTCGGGGATGATCACGACACTGTTTCGCGGACATCTCGAACAATATCTCCACACCTAACACGCACACACCACACAACACTTCAAAAGCAAACCCTCCTACGCCGAGGTCTGGGCTTTAGGGGTGTTGGCGAGCTCCCCTCATGTACAGCCTGGCTGGCATGTTTGTTGTTGATGTTTATAAGATGTTACACTTCAGGTTTTAGGAGTGTTAAAACCTTCTTGGCAATACCTGCGTTTTGCACGGTATTTACATCGTTTTCGTACTATCCGACCGCCTCTGCTTTAGCAGTTTCTTCCCCGTCGAGTTTGCAACTCCAACTGCTGTACTGCTACCGCTACTGCTACTGGTACTGGTACTGGTACTGCTACTGCTACTGCTACTGCTACGGCTACTACTACTACTACTACTACTACTACTACTACTACGACTACTACTACTACTACTACTACTACTACTACTACTACTACTTCGACCACCACAGCGACGACTGCTGCTGCAACTACTACTTGCGCCACGACTATTGCGACAGCTCGCATGTACAAACTGTACAAACAGAATATTATGTTGCCCTCAGCAGACATCACAAGATCGTTACGCTTCAGGTGCGATGTTGAACCGTTAGCAGCTACAACAAACTGCATTTAAGAATGTGCCCCGAAAATGATGCAGACCAAGTCCTCTGAGAGCCTTCCGCTGCAGTCGACGTCCAAGTGCAAGAAAGCAGAGTATGCCTTCTGCCCGACGTATCTTCGGTCCTTGCGCCGCAATCGGTATGCCCAAAGTGATGACTTGACGCTCTCCGTCCGTGTGCCTCTAAGGCGAAGCTGCGGTGCGATGTTGTGAGGTGGAAAAACCAGGATCTGAGATGTAGCAAGCAATGCCCTGACCATTGTGGGAGACTAATCCCTGAAGCAACCCAGAAAATGCCCATCCAACGGTCACGCTCGCTGCGGACGTGGTGGAAAAGCCTTAGCCCAAAGACGTGCTTCGGAGCTTGCGTGGTGGCTAGTGCTAGTGGGTTACGGCCCGGCCCTG